ACTTAGCAGTCTTGCTGTCAAGTCTCAGAGGGAAATGTGAAGCCGACATGATGCGTACTCCGTCTGGGTACATGATACCGTGGGGGACATCCAGAGGGGGACATCCGGAGGGGGGACATCCGGAGGGGGACATCCGGAGGGCTATTCTGAACAAGAAGTCCTAGCTGAAGCATCACTCACCCTTCTTCTCATTTCTAGGCAGTATGAATATCGATCAAAGGACAAGTGATCTCCCAGGACATTTGTACCCAGAAGAAAAAGATACACAGGGTGATGGTCTTCATATGTTGAGGGAAAGGCAAACATTGTCTATTTGATAAGAAAAGACAAGCTTAGCCGTGAGGAAGTCGACAGGTGGGTGGGGAGGGATGAACAGCCTAAATATTTTAAAGCAGCAATGTATATATTTTACTATATGGGAAGTTTTAATCTTATGTTTTTATAGAATTTTTCTATTAACAAAACTCTCCACTATGCAATGATTCTTTCACACAATGATTTTTTCTCCTAAAAAATCAACTATTTTAGGAAATCTAACTTTTTCCACGACCATAGTTGAAATACTCAGATTTAACCTAAAATTGTTTTCATATCCTGACTCTTAGTCACAGTGGCTAGAGATATGTTCTTTTATGTTTTCAGTTTGCTCTCCAAATGAAACATATCAAACAGAACTATCAACTACACTATGCAACATAACACAACACACGAGCTCAAGGTTAGAAAGACACAGCTTCTTCAGAACTTCAGTGCCTTCAGACACAAGGAAACCTCTTACATAAACAGGCTTTATGTTTAATTGGGTAATGCTTATTCCACAAGATTTCTGCTTATTTTGTTCTCTGAGCAGAAAAGATCAGTTGATGCTCAGACCAAACCTGAACTTATCCTAGAATCTTGATTAGAATAAAACAAAAGCAAAAGAACCCACACCAGACAATTTGATGTTTTCCTCATACAACATGGCCCGCCCACACAGAAAGCATGTCTGTGTCAAGATGGGAAGGCCGAGGTCGTTAGTTTGAATGGTCAATAATTAACTACTGATTGAGCAAGGACAAGATATTATAGCAATGACAGAGCTAGAACGGACTTCTTTGAAAAACACACCAGAAAAAAATCCAGGATACAGTGCATGAGGTTGATCAACTCTCAACAGGAATTTATTTTTCAATCAAGAGGGGAAGGGGGATCAAACTTAGCATGAACACTATGAATGATCATGTAAAAGAGTGAAAGAAAGAAAAAGATGCAGGAAGGAAGGGAGAGAGGGAGGGAAAGAAATACTTCAAGTTGTAGTGAAATGACTAAAATCAGTACTGGCAGGGACAGGGAAACTCCACTGATCAAAAGAACAAAGAAATCATAAAATGACCTCAGGAGAAATCCATCCAGAAGAAAAGGGCATCACAGAGCTATCAAGTTCACAGAGCTATCAAGTTCACAGAGCTATCAAGTTTTCTTTAAAAAAAAAAAAAAAAGAGGGTGTGCTTATGTATGTAAACAAACACACACACATATATATACACACACACACATATGTGTGCATGTTCTGTCTGAGCTCTAAAGTTCAATCTGAGAAATGAAATAAGCTATTTTCATGACACTGACTAACCCTGCTAACACTAGCCAAGTAACAGCGAAGAGCCAGCAGGGAGAATTCACAATGGTTCTTTTGGTGGGATCTGCCGAAGACTGTTACTAGATGCTGCTGGTCATGAGTAACAGGCTCCTTTGAGCCCGGATGGGAAGACAGACACTGGAAATCGGGGAGTAGGGTTAAAATAAGCCTGTATACAGAACAGGAAAACACAGAGACAAATCCTCTACTAGCTGGCAGAATCAAGACAGAGATGGGAATACTCAGACATTCACAACGCAGCAGTCACAAGTAAGTAGCTAGTGTCATTTCTTAGAAATAACCACTTTGAGAATGTCACTGCACTCCGATGGGCTCCTCGCCCAAGGTGTCCTACCATCAGTGTCTTTACAGAAGATGACAGGGCACAGCACATGTGACCTTAACTAAACATAAATAATTTACAAACTGACATTTTTTAAAGGTTCAAGTATGAGAAACAGAAAACTAGGCAATAATCTGCTCATGAGAGGGGAACCAAAACAGTATAGTTCTGTCTGAATTAGCAAAATGGCTCTGAACACTTGCCCCAGCATGTGCTGCTGTCCCGTGTGTCTGCATGTGTGGGGGTGGGCAAGTGTGGGAGTGGGGGCTATCACCGATGGGACGTACAGCCTCATCATGGGGGAGTCCTACTTCTTGTTTGGGCACACAGTTAGAAAACACAGAGGCCTGTGGCAAAAGTTGTCTTGTTCAGCCTAAAACATGCCCAGCAATGTGATGATGTCACATCATGCAGAGAGTGTGGTACCCTGGCTCACTAGATCCACTCCCCTGCTGTGATTTGTACTATCCATTAACGCATCTCCAGTTTGTGGGTCCACATCTGCCACCTCAAAAGAGGTGGTCAGCCTGAGACAGGAAGCCAGGTACCAATGGCTCAGCCCTGAGCACAAAGGTGGAACTGAATTAGAGAGGCTGCATCATTGGTCTAGAGTTGGCTAGCCCTTAACCAATGCAGCCTTTTATCCCACGTTGTCTAGGGGTTCCAGGAGGCCATAGATGGCCGCCACAGACTAACCCCTAGTCATACAGATGTAGTAATTCTACCTTCCCCTTGCCACTTTCAACCCAGTTAAAAAAGTTCTCTCAAAAGAGTCTTCCAGAAAATTGTGCTCGAATGATCATCAGGAAGGTTGGCTCTTTTGAAATATCCCCTGGCCTCATCTTAATTTAAAAAGAAAAAAAAAAGATATATTGTAGTCTCAAGACATCTCAGAAATACAAGATCAGAACTACTAGATCAGGAACCGATAAGAACATTCATTACTTCAAATGTGTCAAAGAACACATGGAAAGGACAGCCTCTTCCTCCCTTTCCACATTCATTCACAACTGTCGGGCTGCAGACTACTGCAGACAGTTGTTTAAATTTTTTATGTTCAGTGAGTTCAAGGGGGAATTCCTGAAGAATCAAAAGATACGAAACATGCCCTAGATTTGATCGATTTTTGGACAAACACTGTTCTTTTATGATCTTCCTCACACAGAACAACTAGAAAAATCTTAGAATTGCCATGTGTAATGTCATATCTTAATGTAAACATCAAATAAGGTACCAAAATTTTCACTGGAGGAAAAGAAACCCAAACCTTTAGTCGGCACAGTTCTTTCTGCCCTGGAGGAGGGGCCAGGCTACAAACACTTACACATGCAGAATGAGAAAGAAGATTTTTTTTTCACTAAATTCACGCAGTTTTAAAATAGTTATCAAGTCTACTAAGCACCAACAATCCTAAAAATTTTTCAGCTTCATGATTTGTTTAAAAAACAAAAACAAAAAAACCAAAAACAACAACAACAACAAAACCATACTATGAAATTAACATTAAAAACAAGCTGTAAGCGTTGCTTCTCCAAAAAACCCAAAACAACAAAAACTAAATATGCCACTGGGTTTT